CTCCTCATGTTCATATGGACCCTCTTCATCCTCCCCATCAGGTCTACAATATACTTCCTCCTCAATATCTTCTTCCTCCTCCCTTTCTACCATATTAACTGCCTTYCTCYTRGGACAGTCACTRGATYTATGTCCAACCTCATTACATTTAAAACATTTAATAGGAGCAGGCATTCCATAAGGGTTACTGTGTTTAGGAGGATTGGAAGGATTACCTCGAATATGTCCTCTTGTAGTAGCCTTACCGGCGTTACTTGTACTTGCTGGGTGAAAAGGTTGTACAGCCGGAACTGATTTGTTCCTGTCGACAGTTGCCGGTCTGTTGTTGCTCCCGCTGTACCGGCGATAATTGTCACTGCGTGCCTTGTCCTGGAACATTAATTCTGCTTTCAAGGCTAGGTTCCTTGCTTCCTGCACACTAAGAACCATCTGTACACCAATTTTATCTCTGATAGACGGTCTTAAACCGCTTAGATAACGGGCTGCCTACGAGAACCCTGCGCACACCTCTGATAAGATTCAAACATATATTGTTCATAGTCAGGAGGTAAGAATTTACCTCTGATCAATTGTTTCATGCGCCTCCAGGTTCAAACAGGACCCATTCTTTCTCTCATCTGGGTCTCTCTCATCCGTTCCCACCAAACAGATGCGCCTCCCTTTAATCAGAAAGCTACTAATTTTACCATTCGTTCCTCTGATATTTCCATGTAATCAAAGAACCTATCGACCTCTATACCAAGATCTCCACTAAAAGTAGGAATATCTACCTTGAGTTTAAATTCATCATTATTCCTACAGGGTTGAAATTACCTTGATTGTGCCAATTTCTACTGTTTCTGTCGTTGCTGGGAAGAACTGGAGCACCACCAAATTCGAAATCGTCATCACTGTCGTCGTCAAGAACTGGGCGTCGGGACGCAGTAGTGACGGGTGGTCTGTTGTGGTCGTCTCCTGCGATCTGCTATGGATTTTCCCGGATTCGTGGGACAACCTCCCGTAACAAGGTTTGCAGTTGTTCAGTCACCTCTGCCAACTGCCGTTTGATGTTACGTGTGGCTGTATGCTGCTCTTCGATTGCTCTCCAAACAGCTGAGAACCCCTGATCTCCGTCACGGGGTGGGTTGCGACTGCTACCGTCTGGGTGAATTCCCTGCTCTGATACCACCTGACGCAGCGTGGAAGCAATGAGAACCGGATCTGGTTATGCAAGCACCGGGCGTTCGCTAGCACCTAGCGAATAACACGATTTCTCTAGGAGAGAGAAAAGGTGGCGAAAATAGGAAGAAGAGAACTTGAAGAAATTCTGAAATCTGAAGTATGAAATTGATGAATAACTTTGGAAAATAGCAGTATTTATAATACATTTGGGAATTGTAAAAGAACTAAGAAGGAACATGAGTCTTGATCTTGATCTTGATCTTCTTGGGCTGTCTTGATAAAGTCGAACCCTCTTGGAATTCTTGGGCTTGATCTTCCACCGTCCGATCTCCCTGGTTCTCCTTATGCATGAATCTGGGAGTCTTGGATTTCTTGATGCTTCTTGGAGTCTTTGTTGGATCTTGATTGGAGTCTTGAATTCTTGCTAATCTTGGAAGAGTCTTGATAATCTTGGATTCTTGATAAG